GGCGATTAATCAAAGTACTCGCAGAAAATTAGCTGCAACGGTTTACATAACCCTGTAATGGTACCAGGGTGAGATAACAAAGCAGAACAATCAGTAACTAGCGTGACAAAGAGGCGCTTCCTTGTAACACACGCAGATGCATAAAGACACCGCTTTGCGACACATACACACACACAAAAAAAAAAAACCACAGAAACACTGATTTTCCCAGTTCGAACACCATGACCACACGCTTTGCGTCAAATTACAAAAGCACCCACGCACAGCTCGTCGACAAGCGATCACTCTAGAGTTCCTACACGTTCACCCGCAGGGCGCACACGTATAGTTGCCAACAGGAGCAGAGCACCGCATACCGTTGAATCTCGTAGCCGTGGCTCACTTGCCGGCAACACTTGCTCGCCTGGAATTGAAGCGACGTTATACTCGCGTACGAGTTGCCCCGAGAGAATTCTATACGAATGGTGGCGACAGACACCTATAGCATCTCTCTCGACATTGAGGTGTTTGCGGCGTCGCGTATGAGAAAATACGGAAAATTACGTCCTCGACGCAGACCCTTTCCGTCGTCAGAAAAATTTCTTTGACTGCTGCTTACACACTTAATTGCCAGGTCAATTTCGAACCGGACAAGTGAACGGACCAAACATTACACGAGCCTCTGCCGATCAGAAACTGGCGCAATTTTACGAATCCCCCCAGGCGCCATTGTATTCCTGTCATCCATTGGTTACGAAATTGGTGATGATGATGATGCACTATCGGCGTCAAATGAAACCCGAACAGCGGAGCGCGTGTTTCAAGCATTAGAAACAGTATAGTGTTGGCCGTCCAGTCACCTCCATTGACAGGCGTGCACATCCGGTTTGGCAGCACTGCGCGATCCCCCTATTATCTCCGTTTCTGCTCTAGTTTTCGTATAGTGATAATGGTGGCCATCGTGGGCGTGCCAAGCGCTTTTGATCGTATCACTCGCAATTCCTTGCTTTTACTTCAGCATCGCAGTGCAATCGGTGAATTGGCAGGATCAAACGAAAAAGAGAAATATAATCGGTTTGTGGTTGATTTTCAAACGATCGTCGTATCTCGTTCGCCAGCGCTGCTTCACCTGCACCCTTCTTTCAGAGACCGACCCGAAAACGCATGCACTTTAACTGTAAATGCCCAGCGTTTGTTCGAAAGAGAGAGCGCGAAACGTTTCGCTTTACCGGCACGAAGTGAAACAGCGTGAAATCGCAAGCATTATGAACCGACTTTTTTGTCTACTATAAATAGAATCAGCCAGGAATTCCATGATGATGGACTCCGTGACGACAAACCGTGCTACAATACTTAACTTTGGCTGCAATAGCTTAACCTCTGTTTTTTTTTTTGTTCCTTTCAAATACCATACCTGGAACACAGGCAGAAATATTGCACTATAGGGGGATCGCTCAGTGCTGCCACACCGGATGTGAAGGGCCTGTCTGTGCCAAGGACTGGTCGACGGGACGCACTATGCATTGATAAGGCTTATGCCACGCGCTCCGCTGTTCGCGTTTCCTATGATGCCGATGGTACGTGGAGCACCATCTACGAAACGCAAAAAAAAAAAGCGAAAGGTATATGCGAAATGGAAACCTTCACATCATGCGGGTCTTTTGTACTCCGAATATTTACGGCGGCGCTTTATTTCGACGTCCACTACACAAATCAAGCCCTGGGGACTTTTCTTTGGCCGCGTTCCATGGCACAGCGGCTGCAGCCCCCAACGTTTATAGATACTTTTTCAGTTCCGCAACTCCTCGCGCCGCGCCCAGGGAGAAGGCGGCCGGCCGCCGCACCCGCCACCGCAGCGCTGCAGTCGCGCCTTGCGCTAGGAGAGCGAGAGTCGTCTGCTAGCGCGAAGGGTGTCGCGTGAGCCTTTGCGTGCGCCCGAGTGAGAATTGTGCGAACAGTGTACTTGGTCTTTACTCTCGCTATTTAACAGAGGCCACGCGCTTTAATTCGTGCGCGTTGTATGACTCACGAACTTGAAAAAAAGCCTGTACGTACTTCGCAGGCATCCGTTTTGCGCAGTGACAAAGTGATCGCTTCACCCTGCGCCTTCCTGTGTCCATTGCATCAAGACCACATTAGTAGTTTACAATTCAGCGCGCTAAAAGAAATAGAAATCTTAAACTTATAGCACTCGGGGTTACGTAACATGAGGACTTGGCGACTAGTAAATTTTGTTGGATGAATGAAACACTGCTATTCGTCTTTTTTTTTTTTTGCGGTGGGAAAACGCCTCACGAATAGATCGAAAACTGACGTACACATTTCATTACACGTACACGGCACAGATTTGTCGGCAGGTTTACTGAGAAGTTCGTTAAACTAGCTTTGCCTTCTTGCGCTCTCTCTGTGCCCGAACGGCACTGCTGTTCTCCAAGCATTTGGCTCGTGCGAAGAAGTGCATACGAGTTGTTAAATAAAAGTGAATTGTTTGAGCAGTAAGCTGATTAGCATGCTCGGAACAGCCAACAATATTTGTGCCTCTCTTCACTAGAGCATCCAGCACATCCCAAAATAAGTCACCAAAACATGTGCCTTTGCTAGCATGCTTTATAGTGCGTTCTACCGTGCTCACACACGCAAGCAGTTTTTCTGAAGGGTATGCAAGGCTGCCACAGACGTATTCGCGCTCGATGACCAGTATGGCCTCCTTCGACAGTGAATCACGCCTACCAAGGGCATCTTCTTTGCAGACCTCACAGCGTGTAGTTTTCTTCAACTTGAAAGCCACGTAGCCTGCCAGGTAATACAAGGCGGTCGCTTCTGGTGATGGTGCATTGTATTCATGATCGTCGGCATCACTTGAGAGGGCATGGAATGGTATGGACATCAGCTGCTGCCAAACTTTATCTTTCATTGCACTTTTCCGAACGAGGGCCTCACGACGTTTTTCTCCGAGGCTTTCAAAAGCGCTAAGCAAAACACGATCACTGCCGCTCTCACAGTTCCCTTTGACAGCCACTTTGACAGGGGTGTAGAGGGAAAGTAGCCTAAATAACTGGCTAAACTTGGTCACTGTAGGATGGTCTTCGTCCCCTCCAAATGACCTCACAAGGCCAAAAAATCTCTGCAAAAAAAGTATAGATGTAAGCACCTTAGGTTGCCTCGCGGCAACAGAACTCTTACCTCAAGTGGATCCTGGTTTAATTTGGCTGTTAGGATGTAGCTCACACCCTCGTTGTGTAAGAATTCTATAATGGATAACACTGACATCAACGTGACGCGCAAGGACTCGACAGTTTGATTTGATGCGATGAGTTTGACATTTTTTCTTGCTTCCGTCTGATTCAGCATGTCCAGAAATTCCTCCAGGAACTGAAACATTATGCGTGAATGCATGAAAAATAGTCTACGAAACTATAACAAAAGTGATACAAATGGTGCAAAAGAAAGTGGGAATAGTGTATCGAAATATAAGAATTGATCACAAGGTTTTTTTGCTGCTCACATAATGTCAATACACAAACCACTTACCTTAATTTTAGGGGAACCTTTTCTTATGCCAGCCTGGGGGATCTTCGCATTCAGAATGTCAAAAAGATCATTTAACAGGGATGTAACTTTTTCAGTTCCTGCAGTGTCATCAAAGCCGGGTACATTTAGCTGCCGGTAGATTTTCAAACCAATCGCCACACTGCGGCTGAACAGCTGAAAAAGAGGTTCATATTTTAGTTCGATTGCGAGTGCACTTAATCGAGTTGCAAGCCAGATGAACTTATGTTGTTTGCCAATGAATCCATGTTTACATTAAGAAATATTAAGTGTATGTAGCAGGAGCAAGTGTATGTAGCAGGACATCGATAAGAGGGCAACCACGGCAAAATTGTTTTGCGTGCACAATTTGTACAATCGCTTCCACATCTTGCGCAGAAAATATGTTAATCTCTGCATCCCAGCTGCGCAACAGTCTTCCATTTGCATGGATGACGTACGTGAGGTCCTCGTGAATCGCGACGCTCTTCAGGATCGCGTAAACATCGTCCTTCATTCCCGCCTTGTAAAAGATAACCTGCCGAGGTTTACCAGTGTCCTCCTCAAGGTCCGCCATTCTCCAGTTTTTCGGAAGCTTTAAAGATGAGCCGTTTTCGACAATCTGTGCGAAATCAATGTCGTGCACGGGATCAGGAACTTCTTGCTGGTACTCATCTGATGGCGTAGCAACAAGTACGACTTTGTTGGGTAAGCTGGCCCTATCCTTAGGCGACCGCCGCCTCTTTATTGTTTTTGACAAATAGCTTGGAACATTCGGAAATTGACACGGCACGGCTTCAGGCTGTAATGCCCAACAGCCGCGGTCTATTTCAACAACCTGGCCGTCAATGGCATGCTTGTAAGTCTTCACAATGTCATGTTGCATAAAATGCACGTCACACACTTTGCATGTCTTGCTCAGAAGTTTATCGGCGCGGGGAATAGCTCTCACCCACCTTTCAAGCAGCTGCGGATCGGACGGCGGTGCAAAAAAGTGCCGCTTTTCTGGATTGCTTTTGTACCCGCTGGTGCAGCCGGGCACGAAGCAAGTTGGCATCGTAAAGCTTGGCAGCTCCGAGACGTCCTGTGGCCGGTAGTGCTAGGTTGTCACAATTCACAGATGATCGAAGTCTTCGAGGATAACCACGTGCGCGCACGGTCACAACAACGAGAAAAAAAAAGCGCGATGACAGCCGCGCACGCGGCCAAGCAACTGCGGGGAGGAGCAACACCGGCAACACGTGCGCCCGCGACAGCGCAACTCGCGACTGTGGCGCCATCTCACTGCCCGGGTAAAACCGGCGGCCGCCTGCGGCGGCGGAGTTACGGAACTGAAAAAGTATCTATAAACGTTGGCAGCCCCGAAGTCTTAAGACTTGCGGTCAACTATCGCTGGCGCAACACCTTGGCGCAACCTAATACGCGAAACAACTCATACGTGTATTTATAACGCGCGCGGTATCCTTGCAGCGCCTCGCTGCGTTCGTCACTCCCTGCCAAAAACGCGGCACCCAATCAGAGGCCTGCTTACAACGCGTGCACTGACGTCACCAGGTACATCCGAACCCAGCGGCGTAGACTGCTAATGCAGGCACGGCGATCAGTATATTTGGTAAGGGTGACCGAGTTCGTATAGCACACAGGTGGGACGCAGGACGAACAAACGCCGCAAGGCCTATGTGTTTGGCGTCCAAGTTCCGTCTTCGTCCCGAAACGGCACAGCGGTGTGAGGTAACTAAAAAAACGGCATAAACAAACAATGTGGTGAGAAAAGTCCCGCGCAGTTCAAGGCCATCATAAGAGCTGCTGGTGGAAGAGCTGCGAGCTCAGTTTGCGGTTGATGTCGGCCAAGATGGCGGCGTACAACTCGAGGCGTTCCTGGCTGCAGCCGGCGAACACGTCCTCTTCCTCCTCGTCCGGCATTTCCGGTTCTGCGCGGATGGGGAAAACGACATAAACATCTGCGTATTTATTGCGCACCTACATCGTGGACATACAGAACCAACTGGCGCAATTAAGTGCACCGACAAACTTCTCCTGTAGTTTATGCATTTTCTCTTTGTACCTCTCCCCTTAAAAGGGCCCTGCAACACTTTTGAGCGTGGTCAGAAAACGCGCTGACCGTCAGTAGTAGAGGCTCCCGATAACACACGAGACAAATATTATGGCGCATCACGCGGCCTGGAATTCACATTAAATTATCAAAATCAGCTAAACATTGCTTCCTCTTTTCTCGACAAATGACAGAGGAAGCTAAAAAAAAAATCACCGGTAGATGGCCTTCTATCCGCCATTGGCTGATTCGAACATGGCGCGCTCGGTCGTTGCAGGGATCGCCGCGGGAGGCCGCGACTTGTCCACGTGTGCACGCGCGATCACAGTGGAAAAGCCACACATTCGAACAACAAGAAAGAAGAAATTGTTCAAGGTCACGAGGCGCGCGTGACTTTTTTTTGACGCTTTTTTTTTTGCCCATGCTATACCCCCCTCCCCCTCACTTCCCTGCTTAGCTTCCAACGTTTTCGTCGGGACAGAAAAGAGAGAATGCGATTGCAGCGTGCGACAAATCTTTGTAACTTCGGTAGCGTACTGGACGACTCCTAAAAATTTGTGCGGTGTTGAATTCGTGAGGCAATAAGCTCTTTTAGTGAATCCATTCCATGGTCACTTGAAAAAGTGTTTCAGGGCCCATTTAATGTAGCCGCTAAGCATTGCTCTAAACGCATTCTAAGGAATGCGCCAGAAAATATAGGGCGGCAAACGAAAATACACCACGAAAACACCACTGGGACTAATGAAAACCATTGCTGGCAGTGGCTCACCGGAAGCATTCTTGGGCAGGCCGTTCGGCGTGAGCCAGTTTGTTGACAAACGAGCGCTTATCCACATTACCGCTCTACTACCGCGGAGACGGTGCGGATACCTACAGCCCGATCTCACCGCGAAACTCGCCCCGCACCCGAATGCTTTCTGCGTCTATAGCGTGGCACTGCCTCCATGATCGACCCACCTACGACCAAGTGACGATGCCACGTAATGATGTCATGATGGCTCCACAAATTTTCCCTATGTCACATTATTTCGTTCTTACATCGCTCGTGTTGGCGCCGACGGCCAGATGACGTTACACGCCAATAAGCTGAGCTGTCTGGTGTCTCACCTTCTGCAATTTTTAGGAGTGCTCTACGTCACACTACAGCAGCGCCAAAACAGGATGCCGAGGCAAACGCCGCCGTCTCTATTTCTTCATCTTCACACTGTCTACATACGAACGCGACGCCCCCCCCCCCCCCCACAAAAAAATTAAAATTTCTGGCTCGACCCAGAACACTGTATACAATACGCAATTAGAATAAATTTTCTCGTATTTATTTTTCAACTCTCCCTTTCTCTTTCAGCCCCCTATTCCCCAACCCCAGTGTAGGGTAGCATACCGGATGCTAGCATCTGGTTAACCTCCCTGCCTTCCTTTTTTTTTCTCGTTTCTCTCTAGAGGGCAGTTCCCACTAACTAAAGGTGTGGGGCAGAATTGGCACCTCAATTCCGATGACCAGGGCCATTACCGGCCGCATGCGCGCACATATGCGCGTCTCTCTGGACCAAGTAAAAACCCCCAAGCATTTCCCCGAGGGTGAACATGGTTAAGTGCGAATGCACGGAGTGATGCTATGAGGGGGAGTAAAGTTAAAATCCGTTGGCGACGCTGATATCGGTGTCAGTAACGCGCCTTATATCCAGATGGTAGCGTTGCCTCCGGGACATCCATCGCACGACCCGCTCTCGACGGGAGACTGAGAGAGAAGGCGGGAGCGCGAGAGAGAGGGGGTGCGCGCGCAGCTGCAGCGAGCGAGGAGAGCGGAGGAGCGACACCGATATCAGCGTCGCGCTGCGGCCCGCCAAGTCCTCTTTCTTTTAAAGATAGAGAGAAGACTGCGGACGCCGCCGACGGCGGTGGATGGTTTGGGGTCGCTTATAAAGTGTATTCACACTTAAAATTCTCTATTTATCTTGGCCTCCGCCAGAGGGGGCGACTCACCGACGGGCTTTGCCGGCTTGGCGGGCCCGCAGCGCGGCCGGTTCAGCTTGCGGCCCTCGTCTCCAGAGTCGTGCGACGAGCTGCGGTTTGCGGGCGGCCGTCCGCGCCGACTGCCGTTGCGCCGCGCGCGCTTGGCCCGCGCCGCGGCGGCCCGCTGCTCCAGCACCAGCGCGGTCAGGTAGCTCTGGCGCTCCTTGCGAACCCGCTCGGTGCGCCGCCGGGGACGCTGGCTGCTCTGCTCGGACACGCCGCGCGACTTGCGGCTCGCGAAGAACTCGTGGCCGCACGGGCAGCTCTTGCACGCCACGGGCACCTGCGCGGGGGCCAATCGCGGCGATTCACATCTCAGCGCACTCTACTTAGAGAAGAAGAGTGCGCACTCCGGTCAACTGCGACAAATACCGCCGTAAACTCAAAAGAAGATAAAAAAAGATTATGCAACTAACCCCCGTATTCTAGAACGTCCCTTCACTCAACACTTCACCTTCACTTGAGAAAGCCGATGGAAGCGCCATCTCTAGGCACGGCAAGTCACTGCATATCAGAAATAATCTGCTGCAATTCTCAAGTAGCGCAGTGTCATTTTGAACCGAGCTGTGGCGCAGCGCTCAACTCTGTCAAGTGAAGGGTGAAAGTCTAGTCGAGGAGCGTTTCTGAATACTGGGGTAGTACTAGCGGAGCTGGAGGAAGCCCAGTAATGTATTACCAGACTACAGCACGACTATGTTAGACACAGGAAGTTCGACCTTTGTATGACGCCATCTTGTTCCAAGAGCGCCTAACGATTGTCACGAGATCTAACATTCAGAACGGTGACCGCGAATTCACCTTCGGACGCTTCGTCTAACGGCTCGTGATGGGAGAGAGAGAAAGATGCAAGGAAAGGCAGGGAGGTCAACCAGACGCACATCTGGTTTGCTACCCTGCAAAACGGCTGGTGATAACTGATGGTAATCTCTAGGCGAAGCCGCGCACGACGGGATAGAAAACCATGCGAGTTTGCAACAGCTGCGCCGTTCAGATAGTCTCAGATGTAGTGCAGATATATAGAAGCCTCGGTGCGAAATTAGACGTTCGAAGTGCGAGTTAAAACGTCTCTGCGTCTCTATGAACGGCGTGCGGGCGATTCTGCACGCGACGGCAAAAAAGCGACTCGCCCAGGGATGCAACAGCCGAAATAGAATTTGGTGCGATTTTTGTAACGGCAAAATCTTGCTTTTGGAGCGCTAAAATGCAAGTTTGGAGCTTGTTGGGAAATAAAACATCTACTTTTTTATGACGAAAGGCCAAACTTGGATCAAGAGGAAAAAGAAGGCTTACATTTAGAAAAAGAAAAGTATGTGCAAACTATTCAACAACACCTAAATCGTACAGAAAAAAAATGAGCATTGTTGTTTCAATAAAACTGGTATTTTAAGCCATCCCACTGAGCAAACAACGATAAAGTCCACATTAGCATTTTCCGCGTCTGTCTAATCTTTTGACAGAATCCGTGAATTCAGATGTAAATATGCCAAGCTGGCAATCTTGAAATTCAAGGGATTTGTGGAAATGAGAGGTAGAGGTGGCGAAAAACAACACTGCCGTAAAGTTTTTTTTTTTGAGGGGGGCGAAGAATTGTCATACACTGCTTCGTCAGTGATCATACTAATTCTCACAATTATGCGGCAGTATACACGCATGAGTAGTTGAAATGTGTTGTGCAGTGGCGAAGCCAGGGGGTTGCACAACTGCCCCCCCCCCCCGAATTTTCGCCATAATATACAAAGCGAAAAATGAGCATTTTAAGGGAGTGCTCCCTCCGAAATCAATTGAGGACGTGCCCCCCCCCCCCCCCCCCCATAGAAATTTCTGAGTATGCCCCTGGTGCTGTGTCGCGTGAGTACAACTTATAATACGCTTTTCCACAGAGCACCGGAGTACTGCGGAGAAGGTGGTTTAAGCAGAGTTCTGTGCAGGTTAGAACAAGACCAAGAAATTTTCGAACACCGCTACGCCCACCCCCCTTCCTTTCTTTATTCTTATTATTTTTTTCTAGATGTGGTTTAGGATTAGGGCGCATCTTGGCTTGCTTGCAAGGTGAGTTCTACCAGATAAGGTAGCAACGGAGCGCGCCCGTTGGTCCAGCGACAGCACCGGATATCTATAAAAGGGACTACGCAACTTCAAGAAAGAAAAAAAGATGTATTAATTGCCGTTGCAATGGCGACAAACGTGGTCGCGGACAACGCCGGCGTTCGCAGCACGTCGAGTCCGTTCGAGGGTCCCAGGTCTAGTTACCAACATGCCATAGTCGCTTTTGCTGACTAGGAAAAGTCCATGTTCCCTGCGAAGCGTTGGTAGCTACGGCAACGCATTTTTAGGGGCGAAGCTCCTTAAGCCGCGTGTCGTGCGTCCACGATGTGTGTAGCAGTAGAGTAGTAGTAGTCGTCGTGGTAGTAGGTAGCCACTTCTCGTTTAGTCCTTGTAATGTCCGCTGGATGGCGGTACTTCTATAGGATAAATATATAATGATTGATTGATACGTGGGGTTTAACGTCCCAAAACCACCATATGATTATGATAGACGCCGTAGAGGAGGGCTCCGGAAATTTCGACCAGCTGGGGTTCTTTAACGTGCACCGAAATCTGAGTAAACGGGTCTACGGCATTTTCGCTTCCATTGAAAATGCAGCCGCCGCAGCTGGGATTCAATCCCGCGACCTGCGGGTCAGCAGGCGAGTACCTTAGCCACTAGACAACCACGGCGGGGATAAATTTAAGATGAAATGATGCGAGATGGCGGTACTTTGAGTGTTCACTAGATGGACGAACAGACGCACGAACGGATGGACGCACGGACGGACGCACGAACGGTCGCACGGATGGACGCATGTACGGACGGAAGCGCTGACCAACTGACGGATGCTTCGCCCCACTCATCACGATTGACTCCGCGGATATGCTGTAATTTTTTTTTGTCTTGAAGTTGCGTTGTCCCGCCGATAGTGTGCTAAAATAGGGCAGTGTGCCATCTTCGCAGAAAACCAACGGGAGAGCGGTGGTCGCTTTCGCGATGGCGCCACCAACAGGGCGCCACGACCAAACGGTGTGCCCAGCGCGCATAATTTAAATCTGCATCGCGAAACTTTTTTCAGTTCTAGAGTAAACTGATCACACAATACCATCGAAACTACAAGTGTTTGCAAGATTTAAACACATACAACACATATAGATGCACCAATGAGACAAACGAGGCTCCGCGTGCGTAGTCTGAGCTTGCACAATCCCTATCGCAGAACAACCCGGATGATCTGCATGCTTGCTGTTTTAATTTTAGAAGCCATAAAAAAGCACATCGCTATTTATTCTAACCATATGTACGCCTGCCTAGCTATCACGCTAACTTGAAGCCGTGTGACGAAACAAATGAGGAGGTCCTGAAGGATAGCGTTGTCATAGGATGAGTTCCACGACCACCACTTACCTGCATCATGCAGCTATAAGAGGAATCGCAATGCTTTCGATAGAAAAAAATATAATGGTAATGCTCAGTGACGAATACTACTCTATTTCTTTGGACATTTCACCCATTAAAGGGACAGCGAAGCGCAGAAACGTAACCATAAATTATCCGCAATGTACTCAGGTGATGGATGTAGTTTATGAGAGTAAACCCTGAATTCCTCTCGGTCTGCAAAAACTATAGCATCAGGCTTCCGCAAATACCGAGTCTTCCATGCACACCCTAAAATGCGCTGTCGTATTATTAGAAAAAAAATTACGCCATATTCACGGGGTGAATGATGATGAATGGGCGAAGCTCCGGAGGGATTCATCGGTGAACTGTGAATCTTCCGTGTAATTCGCTCAGTCGATCATCATGTAAAGACGTGAGAAACGCTGTGTGTATATACACAGATCAACTTTTATTTGTTCTTAGACGATGGATGGCTTGCGAAGTCCCTTGCCTCGCGCGCTCGCACATCGGGATTCTGTCTGCGAGCGCGCGCTGCTGCCGCCTTGCGCTCTCTCCGCTGTGCAGCCTTATCCATCCGGCGACTCCGAGCGCGCGCCAACAGCGAAAGGATTTTATTACAACGCTCCCCCTAGCGTACGTCGCCGCACTAAATCGAACGATTGCCTTCAACCAATGACACGCGCCATATGTGACATCATTCCTATTTTATAAGATCTCGCGTCTTTCATCAACTACAAGTACCGCTTTTTAGTTTATAACATCTTGCATCTTTTCATCATCAGCTACAAGTACCACCATCTAGTAAACACTACAAGAACTAAACGAGAGGTGGCTACATACAGGAGACGGTACCGCCATCTAGTGAACACTGCAAGAACTAAACTAGAGGTGGCTACATACAGGGGACGGTACCGCCATCTAGTGAACACTGCAAGAACTAAACTAGAGGTGGCTACATACAGGCTACAGGGGACGCACAGCCCACGCCCTAAGGAGCTTCGCCCCTAAAAGACGACAGCAATCGACGACATTCCCCCGCCCACACACGACCAGCGCGGCCACTACGACTGCCGATCCAGAAACATTGCATGCATATCACTAACTACTTCAGAGAGCGGCGACAGGTGGCGACACGGTAGTACGGTCTGCCCCGACACCACTGGCTGTCATCGCAAAAAACATACATGTTTTCGGCCCCATATGACGACACACTATACCCTATTCCAGTACACCATAGGTCAGCGGACCGATGGGCGCACGGCTTTGTTACTTTATCTGGTTGATGGCGCCTTGCGAGTGCCCTGATCTCATGGAATTAAGGTTACTGTGGTTTAAGCTTAGTCTGCGCGCTTGGATTGATTGATGACGCCCGCAAACTACAAGAGGTTGCAACGTGGCTTCCATTTCTCGCTGAAATCAGCGAAACTAAGAAAATTTTGAAGCTGGTCGGGCATTTTGGCACAGCGTGGCGCAATTTCCACAAATTTCGCGGTTTTGGCGCAGCTCAGCGCCAAAAAAAAAAGGTAAATTGTATCGAATTGGCGCAACTGCTGCACCTCTGATGAGTCAGCAAAAAAAGAAAACAAAACGAGATAAAACACTGCCAAGCAGCGTACCAGTGCACACGGCACAGAAACGGATAACTGAAGTATTATGGCACATTGTCGGCATACAGGTGTGCCATAGACTATTCGCTCAAAACACGCTCGACAATTACTGAGCCGAGAGAAAGTGAGGCTGAGACAAGCTGGCTTTTAATACTAGTGTTCAGGGCATTACGTCTGAAAACCACGAAATGATTATGAAAGACGCCGTAGTGGTGGGCTTCGAAAACCTTCTAGCATCTGGGATTA